TGCCGTTCTTTGTGTCCACCACACTGGGCACCACCGGTTCCTGTGCTTTCGACAATTTACCCGAAATTGGCAACGAGCTGAAAAAGTTTCCCTGCGTCTGGCTGCACGTGGATGCGGCCTATGCGGGCAACAGTTTCATATGCCCCGAGCTGAAGCCGCTGCTAAAGGTACATTGAATTCGCTCTCTCTCTTTATATATCTATCTCTTTCCCTCTGCCACCGCCTATCTCTTCAATCAAATGTCGCTCTAAACAGTTCAGTATGCTAATAAACAGGGCATCGAATACGCTGACTCATTCAACACGAACCCCAACAAATGGCTACTGACCAATTTCGACTGCTCCACTCTTTGGGTGCGCGATCGCATCCGTCTGACATCAGCTCTGGTCGTCGATCCGCTGTATCTCAAGCACGGCTACTCGGATGCGGCCATCGACTATCGTCATTGGGGAGTTCCACTCAGCCGTCGCTTTCGTTCACTGAAACTGTGGTATGTACCAAAAAAAAAAGAGACCGACCCGAGGCGCAAATGATTTTGTTGACTATTGTCAAATATTTTCTTTATTTATATTTTGAGTATTTTTTTTTTCTACATTTTTTGTTTGTAAAGTGCCAAACTTGTTGCTTAGCCTTAAGTATACTTCACTACAAGCATGTGGCTTTAATATTTGCTTGCGATTTAGTTATAAAAACAAAATATTTCGGCAATAGAAGAAGCAGAAGATGAGGCTGGGATAGAGACGCACCTATGATTTGATTGAGTTACGAATCGAATTTTCGCTGCAATTATTTTGATGACTACGGTGAATAATTCATAGGAAACACTTGAGAGTGTTTCGATAAGCTCTAGATGACTTGTTAATTGTGAATATATTAACTGTGAAGTATATGGGTTATTGTGTTCACTGAAGCGAGCAAGCAGGGGACGTGAATGAAATCTCATATCTAATAAATATTGAAGAGATGAAAACGTAATCTATTTATAGAAATGCTTCTTTAGGAACATATATAGTATTGGAGCTTGTAAAAACCTCGAAAGAGGTTAAAATCTTGCTCCATGCTTTTTGGGAGTACCATTTTAAATATATTCATCCAACAATAACTAGGAAATATGACTTATACGTTAAGTAAATAAATCACTAGAAAAATTATGACTGATCTTTAGAGAAAGTTTTATAAGCAGCTGAGGGGCTCTAGATGTTATGCTGAAGCAAAAGAGAATCAACGTCTCATCTTATTCTCTTATTTTTATTTCCATACATCGTACTTCATACCTCATACCTCATACCACATACCTTATAATAGCTATATCTATTATCTACGTCGCCTATTACTATTCAATTATCATCTCAGGTTTGTCCTACGCTCTTATGGCATATCCGGACTACAGCACTATATACGACATCATATCAAATTGGCCAAACGCTTTGAGGAACTGGTGCTCAAAGATAAACGTTTCGAGATCTGTAATCAAGTCAAGGTGAGTTACGTTTTGTCCATTTTCATTTCATTTTATGGACTTGCCCCAACTCAGCAAATAATCATGTAACGAGTTCAAAGCACTTTTTGTTTACACCCAGCTAGATTTATTTATATATATAGATGTTTTTTCTTTCGGCCAGTGGTAAATTTTATAATCGAAATGTTTGGGCGTGCGGGCTTTTGTTGTGCATGTTAAACATTTATCAAAGTTAATGCTGTTGTTGAGAAAATTGTTTGGCTATTTTGGCAGCGAGTGACGCAAATAACATTGACTTTGACTTAACTAAAATTCAATTATGAAATTTGTCTTTTGGGCTTGTAAAACTATTTGTAAATTTCACTAATTCACACTAGCCGCAGAGACGAACGTGCGGAATTGCACGCCAAATGCCAAAATTCCAATCGAAACTGCTGCGAAAATCGGGTAATTGAAGTGTTTTGGCATAATTGGCATACAACAATTTTTGTGTTTAAAGGCAGCCCAAACAGCAGAAGAAGGAGGAGAGGAAGAAGAAAAATAAAAACAAGAAGTGTGAATGTTTAGAGTGGAATGGGCTGGACGTACAAATGCCCTGTGCGAAGATCTTTTGGGGTTTTGATTCAATAAAAGTTTTGCATATGGAAAATCTTGAATTTTTGAGATTACAATTAAAATTAAGCTCAAAAGATTTAGGTATAAAAAAATAGAAATATAAAAACATATATAAATAGATTAGGTATAAAAATAAAAGTGATATATGTAAATTAGGTCTAATTTAAAAGGTATAATAATATAAATTAGGTCAAATGTAAGGGGGAATAAATATTAACTAGGTTTAATATAAAAAGTTTGATACAAATGAATACAATTATAAATATCTTCCTTATCTAGCTATGTTATAGGTATAAAAAAAATTAGGGACTACAACATACAAATATTGTTCCAAAAATGCCTTAAGCAACCCTTCATAGAAAAACTAATGGGTATTCACAGTGAGCCATGACGCACTAATTGACAGCCGCTTGAGTGCTACAGTTTCTTAGCCACTAAATTCGATTGGCCGTTTTTTTTCTTTCATGACCAGCCGCACGTCACATCACGTAATAAGGCGTTCACATTGCGTATACGCAATGTCATTTCAAGCTAAAAGTCTGTTTGATATTTATTCTTTTTGTATACCACACAACAATGGCGATTAGATCTATTGAAACGAGTTTCCATTCAACTGTACAATTGCAGCTGGGCTTGGTGTGCTTTCGCCTCAAGGGCACCGACAAGCTGAACGAGAAACTGCTGAGCGCCATCAATGAGTCGGGCAAATTGCATATGGTTCCGGCCAGCGTCAACGAGCGTTATATCATACGGTTCTGTGCGGTGGCGCAGAATGCCACCGCCGAGGACATTGACTATGCCTGGGACACCATCGTGGACTTTGCCAACGAGCTGCTGGAGAAGGAGCAGCACGACGAGATCACCGAGATCATTAATCGCAAGAAACAGGATACGCTCGCCCAGAAGCGTTCGTTCTTCGTGCGCATGGTCAGTGATCCGAAGATCTATAATCCGGCTATCAACAAGGCGGGCACACCGAAGCTCTCCATGGAGCTGCCCTCGCCGGTGATCAGTCGCGGCAGTGCACCCATCATACGCACTCAAAGCTCGGTAGATCACAACTCGTGGATCTCGTGGCCGCTCGCCTTTCTCTTCAACAGCAACAACGAGGAAAAGGGCAACAATTGCTCACTGCGGTAAGTAGGGAGAGCTTTCTATTGTCTCTGTCTTCTCTTCTTTTCGTCAAGTACTCAATACTTCCACAGCTTTCGACACTTGGACACCAATGTGCGCCCGACTTCGTCGCGTCGCAATTCAGGCGCTGGTTCTTCGCCCTCGCCGGAGAATGAGACGGGCTTTGTGAATGTGCAACAACAACAGCAACTGCAACACCATCAACAACAACAACAACAACAGCAGCAGCAGCAGCAGCAGCCGCAGCAACAACAGCAGATGCAATCGCCACGTAAATCGCCCATGGTTCTACGTAAAGCCCCCTCCGCCCGGGAAAATCACAATTGAAGCACTTAATATGAATACCAAAGACAAAACAAACTAAACGAAAAACTAATCGAAAACTATTTAATGCACGCGTAGTCGAACGCCTAGTTGAATTCTACACCAATTTACAATTTACCAAACATTCCTTATAAATATCCAGCTCAAATATATATACATACATATATATTTATTTAATATCAAAATACTAATTAACCTAGACAACTCCATAATTTTGTTTGCTGCTCAATAGATTTATATATAAAATTATATATCTATAATAAATAAATAGCAAATTACACACCGTTACAAAATTGTGTTTACTTATAAACAAGATATAGAAATATAAATTAATATACATATATAAAAGAAAATTATATATTATATATACATATTTATGTTTATATAGATTATAAACAAATGTTTTTAAATAAAAATTAATATATACACTTTATTATGTTTTTCTTTTTATATATATATATATATATATATATATATATAAAATTTATTTTTTATTTTTTTAATTTTTTTTTATGATTTTTTATTTTAATTTAATTTCCTTTTTTTTTAAATTATATATAGTATATTAATTAATTCATTTTAAGCATCCTGGTAAATTATCGATAAAAATTATAAGCTTAAGCCATCCAATTGCAGTCAAAATATACTTTAATATTTGCAAAAATCATAGTTTGCTTAACAAAATATATATAAAATATTCTTTTTTCGTTCTAGGAAACTCTTTAAATAAAATCTTATACAATCTTATACATTTTATGTCTAACAAATAATTTAAAATGAAATAAAATATTTTGCTTGAAGTTCTCTTAATCTCTTATCAGTCTAGATAACACATGAAGCAGAAAATTAAAATCCATTAAATTCAACAGACAGACAAAACGAAATTTACGTACACATACCTAAAATTATATTGATTTTACCAAGTATTGTAGTTTATCTTTTTTTTAACGAAAAATGTGTAATTATAAAACAAAAGATGATGTCAAATTCAAGCTAAATAGCATTCACTAATCTAATGAAGATAGATAGCAAGGCATTTCCTTAACGTCTGCTGAGGCATAGTTTTTATTTTGGGCACGAGCAGCTGTGATTATTATTATATTCTTTTTTTTTAGACTTAGCCTGGCACAATTACGCTGAAAACAATATCGTAAACATATATTTAGACAGATGTGTATTGTAAATAATTGATTTACTACTGTGATTTTTACCCCCGTAAACAAGACATAAATTTCAAAGCAATTCGTGATGATGCCACGAAGATGACGTTGCCTGAACGAGGCAAAAAACCAATTGTTCTTAAGCGAAAAATTGGAATATGAATCAGTCGGCAAACCAATTAAGGAACTTTTTTTTTTTCTTCTTTGCAAAAAATATATAAATGAATGGCAATGAGTAAACAATTTGAAGAAGTTTCTTTTGCTCGCTTTCTCATATTCTATTTTGATTCTTATTTAAGATGTCCAAAGCTTCCTGTTTCTTGACAAAGATCCGCACTATTTTATCCACATAGTTATCCTTGAGTAAGGGTGAGATCTCTTTGAGCCGATGGTTTTGTATATCCCAATTTAGATATTGCGGTGCTTCAATTTCCGTATTAATCTTGATTTCAGATTGCGCCGGATCCGGGCGACTAGATTGAGACGAATGGATAGCGGATTTATCAATGGATTTAAGCAATTTGCTATACATACTCGTATCCGCTTTTTGGCTTTCCAAATAGGAGGACACACTTTTGCCAGGACTCTCATTGAGCATCTTCATCATGTTATAGGCCCCCATTGGCGATGGTTGCTCAATTGAATACTGCGGCAGATTGCCAACGATATTTGGCTGAGCCGCTTCCAGTGGCTTGGTCTCAGGGCTCGGATTGATTTTCTTGACAAGACGCTGCAGGAGACTCTCATTTTCAGTGGCCTCGGCTGCTGGCTGCACTGACTGCACTGGCTGCACTGGCTGCTCTTGCTGCACTGGCTCCTGTCGCTGCTCTGAAAACATTTGGCCAAGCAGCTGCAATTTCGAGCTGTCAATCTGTTCCACGGGCTTTGGCTGTGCCTGCAACGGCTGAGCCTTGGGCTGCTCGCCTATTGTCGCAGGTTTCGCTTGCTGCACCATTGCCAACAGTTGATCCACTGTGGGATAGGATACGCCCTGTGTGGCACTCGCCTCGCGATCACGTCGTTTGCCCTTCTGCGGCTGCAGCAAAATGGCCTTTCGCTTCTTCTTTTTCTTCTTCTTCTGCTCCATCTTTTTGCCATCATTTGTTCCACAGAATTGCTGCTTGCCCTTATCACCTTCGGTGTGTATAGCATTCTGCTGATCATCGTGCTCGATGCGACTCATTAGAGCATCCAAGCTCGGCTTAATCTTTGATGTATCCTCATAGTCCTTGGGCAGATAACCCAATTGCCGCAGATATACAATCGGTGACTCCCAGTTCTTGATTAAGTCCCGCACAATTGCATTGTAGTTATTGTGAAAGCCCAGCTTATCCATCGACACTCTATCCACAGTAGCCCCAAGATAAGTTAAGAAACAGCTAAACATCCACAGATAACACAGTTGTGTACGCATTGCGATACTAATGGACTTTTTGGCCAACGATTTCTTAAGTAATTACATGTAGGTATATTTTATTTTTGTAGCTAACTCTGAGTGTTAGATCAAGGCTAGAGTAGTTTATATATATTATGAAAAACTAGACAGATCTGATGTGATGCTCTATCAATATTTGTATGTCATATATCAAAGAGAAGAAAGACTGTTGTAAATGAAATAATTCATGAAAATACAATAACAAAATATTTAAAACGCTTCCTGAAAGTGAAATTCGTTTCCTTATTGCTCCAAGAAAATAGTAATTTCTTTTATTTTATATATATGAGAATATAACCCTTAAATCCATTCAAATTTAGTAAAAAGTAAGCCACATTAAATTTACCAATTCCAGGAAGTTTACCCCCTAACTAGTTTAGATCAAAAGTTTCAAATTCTCATGAAATCTCCAGCCGAACAATAGCCTCAAAGCTTGCGCAAAGGTTTTCAATTAACGATCAAATAAATGTTTAAGCTACTGGCGTCGAATAAAACATAAAAAATCACAATCGTATAAATCAAATTAAAAGTCAAAGCAAAGTGTAAAAACGATAGCAAAATAGCCATAAAATTTTTGAAATTTAAATTTGTGACATTAACATACATAAGACTCAAAGCAGCCGAAATAAATGAAATGCCAAAGCTGTGAATTGACGAAATTCAAAGCAGAACAAGAAGAAGAGCAGTTCAAGACTGAAAACCTAAAAGATTTGAGCTATGTTGTCAAGCGATTCGACAATGACGAAAGCAGATCTTAAGCAGAGCCCATTAAAATTATTCAAAGATGAGCCACGAATGATGTTTGGCAGTTCCAACTATATAATATCGTATAATTGATGGGCGAATTTCGGTAATCAATTCGACTCTGCGGATGGTGCCAGGCGGATGGACGCCACAGAGCCTCGAGCAATTTGAAGTGTGACCGCGTAAACTGAATATGCGATTTATATTTAGACAAACGACGTCATTCCCATTGTGAGTGAATGAAAGTCTCAAGCCGAAATATCGCGGTGTGTGAAGAGTTGAGTTGAGTTGCGTGCCGTTGCGTTGCGTTGCGTTGAGTTGAGCCAACATAAAGCAGATCGTCAGGCCGTGGCCAAACAGCAAAAAACAGAAAATAAATACGCCAAGTCATCCACTGTCAATGCCTCGCATAGCCCGCACTTTGCCCTGGTGGGCAAGGCGCGTGCGCGCATGAATCAGCGCAAGAGTTTTGGTTTGACTGCGTTTGATTGAATATGCATGAGGAGGCTGGCAGCAGCTAACTAACTTGAACTCTGGAATCTGGCGGGTCCAGATGAAATTACTATATATATATATGCCATAGGCACTAATTTAGCTAATTAGCACAGCGCGGAAAACTTGCGGTTGGCATACAAAGCATTTTCATTCATTCATGCTTTTGTTTAGGTCTTAATGAGTATTCACTGAGATCTATTTACACACAACGCCCACGCCCACCCACTCACCCACGCTTTAGAAATTATTATTTTGCTTATGAGATGCCAATGAAGTGGCAAATACGTCATAGCTTGCCACATGCAATACACACACGCATACACACATACACACACAGCACGCACTAATGTTAATAATTTTGGCCAACTTATGTATTTGCTCAATTATTTGCCACTTTTGAAGCATGTGTCAAAAGTTATTCCCCGTTGCCAAAAAAAAAATAAAATAAAATAATACATAGAAAATAAATAAAATAGTCAACAAGCTTAGTTAAATACTATTGGTGAGAATTAGTTGGACGCTCTTCTTCTTCCTCTTTTTTTTTTGCATATTGTCTAATTCGTATGCCAAGCACGTCTTTTAACACTGATCTTGTGCCTATCCAAAAAGTTCCCCGAAAAATGTTTTCAGGCGAGAGATTAATAAGAAGAAGCCGCAACGAATCCGGTTCGAGCTTTCAAACGGGAAACGCACGAGTTGCGGTGGGCGTGGCAACGATTGTGTAAAACTAATTAAATGCAACAACAATGCATAACGCAATGTTAATTTAGCTTCTATTAAGTAATCATTAAAACAAATGATTGTAGTTTGAACTTTTAATTGTCATTTAGAGATCATACGTTTTGTATTTAGATATTATATCATTTATATAAATATTAGCACTAAATAAAGTGGTTTATATTAAATTTGAAATATACTCACAATTTTTATAAAAAATATACGAATATATTAGACAGATTATAGAAGACATTTATATTCATTATGAACAAAAATGGTCAATAATAAATGGTCAATTGTATTATTAGTATTATTTATTTCAAATATTATTAATATAATTTTAAATAATATGTATTATTTATTTGTTAATTATGATTATTTACTATTATTTTTTAATATTTTTTATAAATATTTAATACTCTAATATCTTCTATTACTTATACATACTTCGTGTACTTTTTTTCAATGAAACTTAACAATAGAACTGATTCATTTAACAAACATCAACAAAACTATCTCAATTTTCCCAACTACTCTCAGAGCTCTTTTTCGTGTCGTGCCTATTAATATATTTGACGTATACGTAATATTTTAGTACGTTGGCGTAATTTAGTCTGCTGTTTCTTTTGAATACAAATTAAACCTATGCCAATAATTGATCTGATTCACTCAGCAAGAAATAACAAACATTTACTGTTTCAATTTCCTCCAACTAAATTTAAAGCATTTTCCCACTATTTATCTAACAATGTGGTTTACGTATACTTAATATTTGGCTAAATAATTTATTTTAGTTAATAATACGCTTTTCAGGGATTTTCGTAAACTCAAGAAATGCTCTGAATCATTCAACAAAAGTAAAAACGGAAACTTTTTAAACCTACCCAACTACCCTTTAAGCCCAGTTTTTGTATTTTAGCCAACATGGCATGCATTTAATAATACATATAATTATCACCATTACAATTCTTCTACATAACCAATTGTAATGTGCTATTAATAAAGACTCAATCAGTTTCAAATCGCCACACGAAAAGCCTTTCATTTCGCATTCAAGCCATATAATTATGGCAAACAAAAAATATAATATATATAATGTTTCCCGGCAGGGAATTTTTTTCGTTAATTTCTCAAATTGAATTAAAAACTAACCGAAACAACCTACACAAAGCGCGCGCGCAACGAACTGAAGCTTGAGGCGACTCAACAAATTGGCAAAGCGGGTTTCCCAAAAAACGATGCCACGACGAAGGCGTCGAAGGCGGCAAAGTACAGTGCAGGTAATTTGAGAAAGAAGACAACAGACACGAGCAATAGCTGGAGAGTGAACGAGTGAGTGAGTGAGAGAGAGCTAAGCAAAGTCGAGCACAGCAGAGCAGAGAGCCAGCGGGAGAGAGAGAGAGAGCATCGTGCGTGCGCTCGTTATAAAAACGAATGCAGCATCGATGTGCGAGTCATTCGCGCAAAGGAAGCTGCAACGAGCAGAACGAGCAGAACGTAACGGGTTAAAGTGAACGAAGTGAAGGAGAAGAGACAAGTGTTGCCTAGCTTTGGGCAAAGTGTTTAAAAAAATTAAAAAGTTATTAAAAATAAATAAAAATTTAAGTGCATTCAGTGAAATTGTAAAAGCACCAAAAACAAACTGCAAAATGAATGTGGAAGAATTCCGTAAATATGGCAAGGAAGTGATCGATTATATATGCGAGTATGGCAGCAATATTGAAGAGCGCGATGTGGCGCCCACACTGGATCCTGGATATTTGAAAAAACTGTTGCCAGGTAAGAAATAGAGCGCGCATAAATAGCCTCGTTAAGCTAGTCTATTTACAAACAATTTATAAATAATGCGCGTTTCAATTTGCTGAAGTAATTATAGATATATTTTATTTTACTCAATGGAATGCAAAATTCATTCAAAACGAAAAAAAAAAAAATAAGTATGAAATATGTCTGCGCTATTTTGATGCAATGTAGAGAACTACATATTTTGTTTATAAACTATAAAAATATTGCCAGTCAGAGCTGGTTGAGAGATCGCGTATGTAAACAACAATTAGTTAAAGGCTTCTAAACAAATTAACGAAACGAAAAATAAATTTCGCTTCACACAAAATATTCACAGAAAAAAAAAAAAAAAAAAAGAATTGAAAGAAAATGGAAAACAAATCTTCAACAACAATAAATACAATAAAAAACCTCCACTCGACAGACACTTGAGAAACTTGTGGATTTCATGTTGACTAATTGCGAGCAAACAACGCGAATTGACTTGTAGCTCTCTAGAAGCCCACATGGTAACCGTGAATCCATGAAAAAAAAAACAAAACAAAATCTGCGCTTTTTTTTTTTTACTAAAAACTGTAGCGTGGGCCCAATGTGGGGCATCAGGCAGTTGGGTCATAAGATTTTTGGTGTTTTTTCAGGCGAATTTCGAGCGAATTGCGCACAGTTAGTTAAGCTAAATATTTACGTTTTGATGAACACCGCAACAAAACAAATCAATTAATTAGGCGCGCACACACAGGTGAAGGAGTAGATAAAGATATGTGCTGGAATGATGCTGATTTTTGCCGCACGCTGCCAAAAATAACAAAATCTATAGCCAACAGCTTTATAGGTGCTAAAAGATATACATAGATAAACTACAGACATAACATATATATATTTAGTATAGATTCAAAGCCAAACTGTTTCCAGGGCCAACTAACAAGCTGTCTTGATTTGTTTATATTGCAGCTGACGCGCCCCAATCACCAGAATCGTTTAAAGATGTGCTCGAGGACTTTGAGCAGAAGATAATGCCAGGCGTCGTGCACTGGAATCATCCCAAATTCTTTGCCTACTTTCCGTCGGGCAACAGTTTCCCCTCGGTGCTGGGCGATTTGCTGAGCAGTGCCATTGGCTCCATCGGCTTTAGCTGGGCCAGTTGCCCGGCTGCCGCGGAGCTGGAGACAATCGTAATGAATTGGTATGCCAAGGCATTGGGTCTGCCCAAGGCCTTCATATCAGACGCACCGGGCAGCACTGGCGGCGGCGCCCTGCAGGGCTCAGCTTCGGAATGTGTGCTCGTCTGCCTGATTACGGCACGTGCGAGGGCCATCAACGAGCTGAAGGGCCATACGAGCGTCCATGACAGCGTCTTTCTGCCCAATCTGATTGCCTATGCCAGTCGCGAGGCGCACTCCAGCGTGGAGAAGGCCACCAAAATGGCGCTGGTGAAGCTGCGCATTATCGATGCCGATGAACGCGGTCGGATGCGCGTGGATCTACTCCAGCAGGCCATACAGAATGATGTGAATGCCGGATTGACGCCCTTCTTTGTGGTGGCCACAGTGGGCACCACCGGTGGCTGTGCCTTCGACGATATCTCCGAGATCGGCAAGGTGTGCCGACAGGTGTCCAGCATTTGGCTGCATGTGGATGGCGCCTATGCAGGCAACTCTTTCATACTACCCGAGATGCGTGTGTTCTCCGCTGGCTTGGAGTACGCCGACTCATTCAACACAAATCCCAACAAGTTACTTTTGACCAACTTCGATGCGTCTGCTCTGTGGGTGCGGGATGTGATGGTACTGAAGAGCGCGCTCAATGTGAATCCCTTGTACCTGAGGCACGAACACATAAATGGCGTGGACTACAGACACTATGGCATTCCCCTGAGTCGTCGCTTTCGTGCGCTCAAATTGTGGTTCGTCTTTCGTACATATGGCGTGAAGGGACTGCAGGAGTACATACGCAATCACATGGTGTTGGCCAAGAAATTCGAGATGCTGGTGCGCAAGGACGAACGCTTCGAGGTGCGCAACGATGTGCACCTGGGTCTGGTGTGCTTCCGCATGCGGTAAGTTTAAAATTGGACTAAAACTTTATTCTCTCGTATATTACAATATTCCCCTTCTCCCCCCGCAGCACCGGCGATGAGCCCAATCATCTGCTCCTGGCACAGATCAATCATTCAGGCAGGATGCACATGACGCCGGCTAAATTCAATGGGCGCTATGTGATACGCTTCTGTGTGACGTATGAGCATGCCACAGAGAAGGATATACTGGATGCCTGGGCTCAGATCAAAGGCTTTGCGGAGGAAATACTGCGCGATGTTCAGCTGGAGATCAGCTCGGCGCCGACCACACCCGAAACAGAACGCACCAGCTCAGAGCCCGTGGGGCCGGTTTCGGGCAAGCCGCCCATCAAGAAGAAGCTCACGCGAACCAAGTCATTGCGTTTCTCGTTTACGCGCAGTATATCGCGGGAACAGTTTCAGAGTCAAAGCGAACATCTTATGGATGGATGTACACCTATTTTGGTGGTGGATCCCAAAACGATACAGCAAAACTTTCAACAGGCGACAGAGGATAATCAAAATAATAATAATACAAAGCTTAAGGATATATCTGACGTGGACACAGATGAGGCGAGCAATTGAGGGATGTGCAAATATGTAAATAGTATTAGCTGTGTTTCTATTGAAGTTTAGCTACGAGCTGCAATGAGGCCTGCACCTAGAATCGAACGATTTGAATTTGAATAGTTTTTAAGCCGCGCTTCTAATTTTCATATAATTTATTGTCGGGTTCCTACATATCAATATTATTTAGTTAATGCTCTCATGAACAACAAAAATCACAACAAACTCTTATTTATAAACATAAACATTTACTTAGCATTTAATAAGCGCATTTTTTATTAAAAATATATTATTAACTACAAAGAAGTTTTTTCCCTTTACAAATTAGAAATCTCGTAAGCGAATTTTAAGCTAAGCTTTTAGAGCTTTCAATTCGTTACTTAAGTGGAAGGGAGACAGCAACAATCGTGCACCCTTGATTGATCGTATCAATTGTTTGCATGCAATTTGACTTGTGTGATTGCATTTGCATAATCAACATCAATAATTATGTGTCAATAATATACAGACTAATCAACTTTTATAAATACCCCAGGCAAATAAACAAGACAGTATAAAAAACAACGGTAAAACAAAAACAATGCAACTACGCTTACCTTTCTGCTAATGCCTTCCCCGCTTTCTGTCTGTCTATTTAATCTCAAACAAATGTTGGTTTTTAGTTTCAAGTCACTTCCAAGTTAGGCACTTGCATACAGTTTATTTATAATAAATTCACAAATCTTTCACAATAACAAAACAAACGAAGCCACATGTGCGAGCGGACAGCTGAACGATTAATACGATTGCCGGCTGGCGCAAACTATCGATAACAGAGGTAGGACTGCACTATCGCACTAGTCGATTGTTGTATTTTCATCGCTGCAAAAACGTAAACAAACCAGAGTCGGCGCCTTTTATTGTTAAACGTTTGCATTTATTAGTAATATTAATATTAAACATGCCCAACTGGAATCAAATACAATCGCAACTGCGCAGCTCAAACAATCCCGTGGTGTTCTTTGATATAACTGTGGGCACAACGGTAAGTCAATAATTTTGAAAGTAATAATTTCATTAAAATTTAATCACTTGCGTTTGGCAGGAAATTGGACGCATGATATTTGAGTTATTTGCGGACACTGTGCCGCGCACAGCCGAAAACTTTCGACAATTCTGCACGGGCGAATATCGGCCGGACGGTGTGCCCATTGGGTACAAAGGGGCCAGCTTTCACAGAGTCATCAAGGATTTCATGATACAAGGCGGAGATTTCGTCCAAGGTGATGGCACTGGTGTGACCAGTATCTATGGGAATACATTTGCCGATGAGAACTTTACGTTAAAACACGATTCACCTGGTCTTTTGGCGATGGCCAATAGCGGCCGCGACACCAATGGCTGTCAATTCTTCATCACCTGTGCCAGGTGTAATTTCTTGGATGGCAAACATGTGGTCTTTGGACGTGTGTTAGATGGTCTCTTGATTATGCGAAAAATTGAGAATGTGCCAACGGGACCTAATAATAAGCCAAAACTACCGGTTACTATATCGCAATGTGGACAAATGTAGCGTGTGTTGTTGTGTGTGTTTGTATAATACATTTACAATACAGTACAAGACGAGTATAACGACCATTTATCTACTACTAAATAATTGTCTAAATGTCCTTGTTAAAGTAGGAATACGATTGTACCATTTCTTTCTCTTTGCGCAGAGTCTGACAATCCTCAATCAAAAAGCTGAAAATTTAAATATTGATTAGTTGATTCATATTACATATTCTTTATATGTATATGTATATGCTCACTCGTAGTATAATGGCACTATGGGAATTGTAGCTAAGTGCCATAGCGAATGTGCATCGAGTATCCATAAGATAGGCGGAAAATCCAACAGCTCCAGGCTCATGGCCATAGCGAATAACACGTAAAACCGTAAAATGCGTCTGAAGTAGGGCCTTCGAGTGCGCACACGTTGACACCAGATAAACCAGCCCAGAGCCGTGAGCACGCCCGTCGCAATATTTACCTTCATATTAAAAGAGTAATTGAATTTGCCCGTGCTCAGATAGGCGAAGTAATTGATGTAGTACGAGACGCAAGCCAAGGTAATGACGCCCCTTAAAAAGAGTGAATACCGATGCAGCATACGCATTAGCATGCAGTAAAAGGAACACACAACAATTGAGTAAGCGAACGCATAGTCCAAAAGCTCGGTTATGGGAAAGTCTCTGGTATGGAATATAGCCGACCAAACCCAGCCATTAAGACAGACCTGAAATCAGACAAAATTCAATAAAGAAGATATTTACTTTCTAAATCACTTACTATAGCAAAGATATGGGCGAGCATATAGCATGGACTATCCGGGCGCACGTTCCACCTGAATTTACGTAACATACGAAAATGCATGATAAAATTTAGAACAGAGAATATAACTGATGCCGGCTCCTGCATGCCAAACAATCGTAGAAATGGCCATTTGCCATAGAACTGAGGTATGGGCCAGCCTCGCTCCATGAATGCATAAACCGTGCGCCACATGCAGCCATAGGAGCATTCGTCAGTGCAGCGCCATCCAAAGAGCCGATCAAATATCGTTTGGCCATAAAAGCTAACCGCTTGCTCCTGTATCTCTAAGCCATCTGTAATGCATGCTCATTAATAATATAGCCTACATAGTATATATATATATTTACTCCACATACCGGCTGAGCAATTTGTTCGTTCGCAGTTCTGTCGACAATTGTGAAAGAATTGAGTGCGATCCCCATTGGAAGCGAACGCCGGCAGCGTTGCGCTTTTTATCGACAGCAGCAGGAACAGTAACTGCCATATTGCACTCAATTTCAAATTAACTTTGAGCATTATGCTTTGCTTCACATAAAATTTAGTTAAACATTTTTGTAAACAAATCACGCCGCTATTGATTTATCTCTGATTAGGGATGCCAGCCAACATACAATAGATATTCACATATTTTTCACACCATCTTAATAGATATAGGAATGGCATGCATAATAAATTATTTTAATTGTCGACTTTCAATTGCCTTCATGCATTTTATTGTGATTTTCAAAATATTTTCATTTTTTGTTTACAAAGAGAAGCAACCCATTTGACAGTGTGGCAACCCTTGTCAGCTGTCAAAACAGTCAACTGAACATATCAGCGTTTATACCTCCGTATTTATTGCGATATGGTAGCATGATATGGAGATGAGGCAAACATCTGTTTCAACAAAATATATATAATGTTTTTCAAAATAAGTTAGCCAAACAGGTTGTTTATCTATGGTTGTATGATCGATTCCCGTCACTTACTAGAAACATAATAATTGATTTAAATGTTCATATAATCAAAATAGAAGTTGATTGTTTTTTGACATACCGATGAATATTCTGTTCTTGATTTATCGTATAAACTTTGAGTATCTCTCTTCCTCGCCTTCATTGCAGTTGTGTTTGTGTTTGCTTTTGCAGTTGATAGTGTGGGTAGTGCTTGAGTGCGATGAAAAAGTCATAAATGAATGGAAAACATTTAGAAATTATTTTATAAACCAGCTGTATGAAATAAAATTGTTGTGCTGGCTCAGCTGTTCGCAAATCACAAAATATATATTCAAACGAAATCCAAAATCACTGCAATTGCAGGTACAATTGACGCGCGTGCAGTGGCAGTATTTATAGAGACCTGCAATTGCACCATCATGTTAAATAGCACCCAATCAATGCATCAGTTACCTGTGCAAAAACAACAACAACGTTGTCGCGTTTAAGTGTGTGTGACTCTGTGTACTATTCATATATATTTAGAATATGACGTTAGAGCGCACTGCATAAATTAGCACAGATAAGGCTCCTTCGCTCGCGCAAAGTGTGACCAGGCTACAAATTTGCATGTCCGAGTATCTGTCTGTGGACGCCAGTGGCAGAGCCAGCTCCAGCAATGTCCACAAACTGAGTGGACAGCCAACGCCGCCGTCGTCGACGTCAACGCTGCTGCTGCAGCAGCGGGAAACAGCGCTGCGTAAGCCACACAATTTAAAGGTGAGCAAAGCAAATTTTGACTATTGAAATATATAGTTAATAATAGGTAATTTAATTGCAGCGTGAGCCACTGGTATTCTTCATCATGCGCCTGAATCTGAAAGCTGTGCTGCTGCTGCTCACGGTAGCCGTGATGGTCATAACATTGGGTATTTATATGCGCTGTGCCGCGTTCAGTTTCTCGCCGGATTTCGTGCGTCAGCTGAGTCGACGGCAGACCTACGACACGCTGGCCAGTTCAGCTGCAGGCCAGGACTTGCTGTCCAGCCCCTTGCAGGACATTGAATGCGCCATCAATCAGGAATATAGCATACACTGCAAACGGGACGAGAACGCCAACGAGGTCTATGTGCCCTTCTCGTTTCTGCGGCAGTATTTCGATGTCAGTGGAGCTGTCACCACTGGCGGTAGCAGTGGCAGCGAAGCAGCCAAATTCAATTGGATGCACAGCAATGCAAAGGTGAATTTGCCCAAGGGCAAATACGATCCACGCGGCGTCTTTATGTATTTCGAGAACTACAATGTAGAGGTGCGGGATCGGGTGAAGTGCATCAGTGCCGCCGAGGGCGTGCCAGTGAGCACGCAGTGGGAAAAACGTGGCTACTTCTATCCCACACAGATTGCACAATTTGCGCTGGCGCATTACAGCAAAAATCTAACGGAACAGACGCCACGCATCCACATACTGGAAGATGCCGATAGTAATCAGATGGAATGGAACACGCCAAAGACGAGCAACATGACACGCATTTGGCATCACAAATTCAACACGAGCATCGTCCAATTCGAGACAACCATTGGCTATGAGAGCGCCATTAGCATACAGCTGAATCAGACGCAGGATCTGGTTTTGAGTGTGGATCTGCTGCTGGTCACGAATAGCAGCAGCCTGATGGTCACCGTCCTGAACCGGGATACGAAGCACAGCTACAATTTGCATTACCTGGCCGCAGAGCTGTTGCTCAGTGTGCAGGAGTCCAATATTTATTATGGCTTGGGCGCTGGTTCCCTGAACAAATGGCGTCACATTACCAGGGATTTGCACATTGATCTACAGAAGGGCATTGTCATGGGCGACAAGCGTTCCCCATTGAAGGTGCGTCGCAGCGACTTGGAGGTGCTCTCCATTGCCTTTTTGGGCATTGGCTTCTACGATAATATTACGCTCTCGACGAGCGATCACTTGGCTCATTTCTATGATGCAGCCGAATGGTTTGTGCACAATCAGGATATGAAAACTGGCGGCTGGACGAATCCAGTGCGTCGAAGTTTGAATGGATTTGCGGAGCTGCGTCCCGGCTGGATATCGGCCATGGGCCAAGGGCATGCCATCTCAGTGCTGGCACGTGCCTATTGGCATTCTGGAGGAGATATGCGATATTTAAAGGCGGCTTCTTTAGGTCTGCAACCGTATCGCATCTACTCGCGGGATGGCGGTGTCCTGGCTCAGTTTATGGATAAATACTATTGGTGAGTGTGGAGTAAGTTACGAATAAATTCTGAGCTACTTTAACCCTTTGCCATTTACCAGGTACGAGGAGTATCCCACAACGCCGGCATCGTATGTGCTCAACGGTTTCATCTACTCACTGCTCGGTCTGTACGATCTGAACAGCACAGCGCCTGGAAAGATAGCACGCGAGGCGGGCAAATTGTTTGCCCAGGGCATGCATTCGTTGAAAAAGATGTTGTTGCTGTACGACACCGGCTCCGGCACCAGCTACGATCTGCGCCACTTGAGTTTGGGTGTGGCACCAAATTTGGCACGCTGGGACTATCATGCAACGCATGTGAATCAGCTGCTGCTGCTGGCGACCATCGACAGTGATCCATTGATCGCCCAGACTGCCGAGCGCTGGAAGGGCTATATGTTTGGCAAGCGGGCCAAGCATAACTGAGAGCTAAGGAAACTGGCGGCAGTGGTTGCTGCCGCCTCCTGGCAGCCACATCGCCACCAGGCCGAAAAGCCCAACAAGTGATATTTTTTGAAAAGAGAAACCATTTGAAATGGTTCAGCCGCATCCCAATTTCCAATTATCCTTTAAACGCAACGAATTTGTTTGACCTAATGTTCATATTGTTATTTTTGGCATGCTTTCATATACGTCCGAAATATGTATTTAATTTTCTTTTCTTTTAGTTTCGTTCGTTTAGTGCTTAAGGAATTGTACCTATCTACTACGTATATACCTTGTATTGCATAAACATAATCATTAGCTGCTATTTGCCATATACACATACCTGTATAGGATATGTATATGTATAACTATTTGTTGATCTATGTAGCTTAATTGTTTCCTAAGTAGTTGCACGCGTAATTTCACTGGACAATATCAGAAACTAAACCTAAACTATCACAAAAAAAAAAAAAAACAATCAAAGTGATCTAACCTATACCCTAACCAATTTAGCTGTACTGAAAGGGTATACAAAAATATTATCACTTACTGTTGTATGTTAGTCGACTTTTTGTACTGCTCTAAGTAGAGATTGTTACACACAAGCCCCTTACCCAACTTGTATAAATTAAAATTGTAGAGAGCTTAGCATTATATATATAGGACCCACTCGAGTTATAGATAGTATCTATTAGATGCATACATAAACGAGGATAGTCTTACAAATTTGCAATCTTAACTTGAAAATAATAGATTTCATGAAGATAAAAGTTAGAAAAATACAAATGAATTAAATTTGTTTACTCGATGATTTTTTAGACTATCCTCACATATACTTAAATAGATATATGTATATCTGATAACATATTTGTACTTCATTTCTTCAGGCATATTTTAGTGTTCGGAACTAAATCTATTAACTGCCTAATAAAAACTACGTTTAAAAGTATTGCGATATTCTGCTGTAAATAACATATATCATGTGAGTTTTATGTTTATATCTAAATGAATTAATTTTAAAAAATTCAAATAATTTAAAGCATTTATTTTAATTTTAACACACATAATATATATAATATATATTTTATGTGGCGCACAAAAGTCGTAAGACCATTTTTACATAATTTAATATACATATATGTATATTATCTAAAATATCGCAATTGAAAGCTAAACGTAGTTTAAGTAATAAATATAAAAACTAAAATAAATAACAAATGAGTAATTATATTGCATAAGCATGTAACTGTAATGTTGTAGGCCACTTCTGAGAGTTTCTCAAACTTAAACGATGCCATTCCAATATAATTCTAATTTTATATTTAATTTTCAACGTAAAATACTTACCGTCAATTATTATAAAACAAAAAATAAAATCGTTTTCGTATCTGTTGTGTATTAAAAAGAAAAGGAAAAACGAACGAGACTGTTAAGTAAAAAGATGTTAATTTTTGCAATTAAGTACTTAAAACACGGGTAAACTTTGTGTTTTCTCAATTTTATTTACAATTTGTTATAACAAAAGAAATATAAAACGCCTCTGTCAACATTTATATTATGTATATCTTCTATTTCACTAAACAGACATTACTATATTTTGTTATATTTGAACATGAACATGAAAGGGAATTCTGACTATGATTGGATTGGGTAGAGTTGGGCTGGGTTGGATTGGTTGTTGTTATTATTGTCAGGATCGCCTTGATTTGAGGACATGCGAGCGTATAGAGGGCGGACCACTGCGACGATTCACTTCCAAGATGAAGGCGTTCTCCATTTGGTCGCATATCAAATCAAAGAAAATATTGGCAATATTGCTGTGCAGCAGCGATTTGAACTCGAAGGCAACGCGAAAGTCGACAACGCATGAATTCGGTATGTCCTTCAGGCCCGGACTGAAACGCCATTCATTGAGGAGGTAGTTAAACAATCGGCCATCGTGGCATTCCGATTTCACGCGACTGTTTGGCTGCAATGTAACCTGCGATGTGTAGATCTCGTTGAGTGGTGGAAAGCCAACGATCAGATCCGCCTTAAATCCACCTCCGCCGGGATCGACGGTGTGCACCTGCGATTTCTTAACATAGGGCACGAACTTGTAATAGTTACTGACATCGGAGACAACGCTGTACATATCCTCCATGGAGTAGCTGCAAGCATGTATATACATTCACATGTTAGTCAAATTTATAACTAATGAGATCATCTCTCCGACAACTCACCCGACAAGCTCTTTTTTGGTGTACATGCGATTCTTGTTGCGAAAATCATTGAACGTTATGTAGTAGCGCTGGATGCCATTTATATAGCGACGCGGCCCGATCTGCTGGCAACTGCAACAAGAAAGGCTGCGCTTTGTCAATAACAGTTTTTTAATAATTTAATCATTTATAATCTGGTTTAAACTCTCGATAGAATTTTGTTATTTTTTTTTTTTTTTTACATACTGTGGCAAAGGTTGCCAAGACTTGAGATTATATAATTAACAATTTACCTGCTGACCTTGATTGCATGTAACGCTGTATAATTCGTACATCCAAAGCCTTTAATGTGCTGCCCTTTAACATCTTTAATGGAAACAATTTGTTTATTTTTGAAATGTGTATAACGAAATTTTGTGGCTGCTTCTGAACAAAATTGTCCACCCCCAATCGCAGCACGCGCAATCCAAAACAGCTGTTGACGCAGCGTTGCCAGATATAAACAATAAACTGATTTAAATATATCTCTTTTATTTTCTACATAATAGCACAATATGAACGCGCTTCTTCCTGTGGTACTGCCAAACCCATCAGCTCCTTTTGCTTCAACTCCAAATATGTATTTTCATTGCGTTTCTCTAGCCATTCGGGCAACGGCTTGGCCCAATCCTCTGGCGGCTCTTTACGCTTCATCCACGTATCGTTCGCATAGTGTGCACGCAATCTTGTCAATCGGCGCTGCTCCTCGCTTTTGATTATAGCACTGCCCGCTTCCACATCATTGCCATTGGAGCGCTCATAGCGTTCGCAATTGTGAAAATCGGTCAACCATTGCGAACAATCCGTGTCTTTACCATAGATGAAATATTGATGAAAGCGTGCCTTGAAACTGCTGCAATCGTCATACTCATCTTTATATAGGTGACACGGCCGAATCTATAATTTGCAATTCTAAAATCTGTTGCATATTTAAACCTGCATTACTTACGGCCCATGTATCAGTTAATTTTGGAACATCTTTGGGCGCTTTTGTTTCATCATTTTGACTATTAGCTGACATTATATAAAAATTTGTAGAGCACTGCGAGATGAGAAAATAGAGAGTAACAGCTGTTTTTTGTTTACCGCTCAACAGGGCTGCCACCCCGTTACAAAAAGTGCACCTACGATTGTAAATAAATATTGGGTAGTCGAAAAAGTCTTTTCGTATTTTGCCAATAGATGTCGTTGGCGTTGTATATCTCCAGTGCTACCAATCACCTTGTGTACTACCAAATCGTGTTCGAAAAAAATGGTGTTGAAAAAAATTACAGCTGTTCAAAAATGAGTGAAAATAAAGAAGAAATTCGCTATATTTTGAAATTTTTGTATAAAAAAGGGAAGAATGCTACGCAAGCCACTAATGAAATTTGTGATGTTTATGGTGACGATGCTCTATCAGTTCGTGTAGCACAACAATGGTTCGCTCGCTTCCGTTCTGGTGAAAGATGTTTCGATGTGAAAGATGCACCTCGCTCTGGTCGACCAATCTTTGAAAAAGTCGATGAAATTATGGAAAGGATTGACCAGGACCGTCACATAAGCAGCCATGACATCGCAAATGAGCTAAACATTCATCATCAAACGGTTCTGAACCATTTAGAAAAGGCTGGCTACAAAAAGAAGCTCGGTGTATGGATACCACATGAATTGTCTGTGAAAAATTTATTGGACCGAATTAACATTTGCGATTCTTTGCTGAAACGAAATGAAATCGAACCATTTCTGAAGCGAATGGTAACAGGAGACGTAAAATGGATCAAATACGACAATAATGTGCGAAAAAGATCATGGTGTAAGAGTGGTGAAGCTCAACAAATGGTCGCAAAGCCAGGATTGACGGCTCGAAAGGCAATGCTGTGTGTTTGGTGGGATTGGAAAGGAATAATCCACTATGAGCTGCTTCAGCCTGGTCATACGATTGATTCGACACTTTACTGTGAGCAACTGATGAGATTGAAGCAAGCAATCGAAGAAAAACGGCCAGAACTGATCAACAGAAAGGGCATCGTATTCCATCAGGACAACGCCAGACCATACACATCTTTGATGACCCGGCAAACATTGGGAGCGCTTGGCTGGGAAGTTTTGATGCATCCACCTTGCACCTTCGGTCAATGCAGACCTCCCTTAATGGAGTAAAGTTGGCTTCAAGAGAAGCCTGTGAAAATTACTTGGAGCAGTTTTTCAAAGAGAAACCACGAAAGTTTTACACGGATGGAATTATGTCTCTAGTGGAAAAATGGCAAAAGGTGGTCGACCAAAATGGTGCATATTTGATTTAATAAAGTTTATTATAAATATTCAAAAATATGATGTGAAGTTTCATTACAAATACGAAAAGACTTTTTTTTGGTTTTGTATCATGGTTTTCCTTTTTTATTGCAAATAATTGCACAATTAATGATATAATGTACATCAAAAAACATTAGGTAAATTGAAATGTTAAAACAACATTGCATCTTACAATATTGTTTTTGGCAAAAATGTACACGTCTATGATGTTTTCAATCTTCGTTTTTCAGCGTTATTTAAAAACCTTTTTATGTATACAGAAAAATATATATATATAAATATGCAGAAATATATTCAATGTAATTGTGTAATATGCTTTACGCGTGGTTGTGTGTTTGTATGTATGTGTGTATATATACTTAAAAGGATTGTAATTAAAGCCTTTCAATTTGAATTTCAAGCGTTTTCTTCTTTTCTTTTTAGCATATTACAGCAGAACTTAAAAAATTAAAATAACGTGTTTTTCTTTTCTTTTTGTTTTGTGATTACAATTTGTCTTAATTTTACAAGAAATTACAAAACTAAACCCGATGGCATGTTTAAACTAAATGGTAGTCAAAAATATACAATATGCTGTGTTTTACAAAATTGGCAAAAAACATTTCATAAATTGTTTTACAAAAAGAACTACGTACACTAAAAATTTCTAGAACCAGTTTTCTTTTACCATTTTGTACACATCTAAACTGGGTTAGAAAATTTAACGGAGGCGTAGGGCCAACTACAAAAGATCAAAGCACAAGAATATATATATACATATAATTATATATATATATATATGTATATATATATATGTGCCTACGTAATTGTATGTTTCTGTTTTATGTAAGTGTATATGAAGTGTGTTGTTTTATAACTAATTCTAAACTTTAGTTTGACTTTTAAGACTTAACAGCTAGAAAAAACAGGCAACTCCTGTTTTTGGGATTTTTTTTTGTTTTTTTTTTTTTTTTTTTTTTTGTTTTTTTTTTTATATTGTGGTTGGTTGTTTATTTGTTGTTGTTGTTGTATGTAGCTGCTTTACATTAACCATCGAGCGTCCAGCACATTATCCAATTGGAGCAGTTGCAGCAATTGCTGTTGATGCTGGTAATGCTACAAACGACTCGACAGTTAGTATTTGTTATGCTGTGCCAGCAGTTGCATATCCGTCAGATACTTGATGATGTGCACCTTGGCCTCGGCCTTTTGCCGCACGCCCAGCGTGTTGAGCATATCGGTGACGACCATGCCAAACGACTGATCCTCGGCACTGACCGCTTGCGAGACATTGTTCTGGAATATCTTAATGCTATTCAGCATATTGTCACTGTGCTCTTCCTCGCCTCGTTCACGCTTCAGCGGCGGCTCATAGAAATATGGCTTCTGATCCTTGCCCACAGCGGTGGCGAGCTGGGCGTCGCCAGTGACAGTGATTTCTATGGGGAAATCTTTATTAAAATCAGATATGTTTTATGTTTAATCGTGTACTCACCGTGCGGATGCGTCAGTGCCTGTGCGGATGTGGTGGCGCTGCCATTGAAGGGCTGTGCAAAGATGTCGACGACAGTCTGTTGCTGGGCCTGCTGCTGTTGCGTGGGATCGGCCACTTGATTGGCATTCTGGCTGCCGTTGGCACACTTTCCCAGCAGCGATTCACGATACTGGCGAATGGAGTCCACAAGGAATTGCATTTGCTTGAAGTAGCGCCAGCGCGATTCTTGGCATAGTTTCATTTCGCGCGCGAATTTGTCGCGTAAGCTCTTCCAACGCTTTGTACATTTTTGTTCTGAAATAAAATACATTCATTGTAATCACGCATTATGAAAATTAATTAAAATTATATCCTATTGCTTTGTATTCTATTTCACAAATATTAGCGCTGATATGAAACTTTGTTTACTTTGCGTCTTTTGTCAAGTTTTTCTTTAGGGGGATGGCAACGCCGGCATTGCTGCCAGACGTCAGCCATATGTGTGCGTCAAATTGCAAACCAAAACAAACCGCGAGACGTCAACGCCGTTGCCTCAGCCGCCCCCGCTGACACTTGAACAAACGGCGTTAGCTATTGGCAGAAGTCGCAGTAGCAGCAGCAGTAGCAGTAGCAATAGCAGCAACAGCAGTAGCAGCTACAGCAATCGCAGCTGAGGCAGCAACAGCAGTAGCAGCAGCAGCAGTCGCAGCAGGCGCAGTAGTCGCAGCAGCTGTAGCTGCTGCTGCTGAGCTGAAGCTGAATCCGTGGCACGCCAGCAGCGACAGCAGCTTCCGAGCGGCCTGGCGGCAGGCGTGCGCCCGCTGCTGCTGTCGACGTCAACTACAACTACGAGTTGATTCTGCCAGCTTGGTATTGGTAACGCTAGCTGCGCGGACCAGGCAGCAAATCTGACGACAGAGTCGTCTTCATATTTTCTTCTCCTCCAACTCAAATGGTTTGGCGCCAAACTCTTTTTCATTCAATATAAAAAACGACTTGCATAATTCATTTATGGAAAAGCCCCAAAATCGGATTTGGAACACACAATTTTTGACAGACAGGGGGAACAGACGAAACTGTATTTTTTTTTTCTTTGGTATACAGTCATGAAATGAAATGAAAGCTGTTCGGTTGGTCGACGATTGTCTTTATTTGTATGCGTGTTGTTTATGGCTGAATGTGTGTGTACGTGTGTGCGAGTGAACAGCCAACATCAATGTTGGCAGCAGCTGCAGCGGCGACGGCAGCAGTGGCTGTTGTATAAAAATAAACGCTGGCGTAGGCAGCGTGTGTGTGACAAAGACAACTACTGCGACGCAAAAGTACAGCAACTTCAAAAATGTTGACTGCGCGCACATATTGTCGACAGCGCAGTCAGGAGCGTAGATGTAGCGCCCAAATGCGGGCGCATATAACCGGTTAGCTAACAAGACTTTTGCATGTAACCAAGAAATATTTGTATTTAGATTCAATGCAAAATTTGCATAGAGCTATATAATTTTCAATATGTTTTAACAAGGCCCAAACCGTTCCGAGCTCAATGCGCCCCTGTCATTTCACAACCGACTGTCGCGTCTCCGTCGCGTCGCCGTTCACTTTTGCGTCGTTTCTGTACACTTGCTTTTGCTGCCCGCCTGCTGCCGACGCCCGCTGTCGCTGTCGACGATGTCGTCGTATGTCGCCTCTGTTGCCAGCCCATTCTGCACCCGTTCCACCCTCTCTGCCTCTTCTCTTGTGTACGAACACAGAATTTAATCAATTTGCTGCGACGACGACGGCGCCAGCTGCCTTAGTTGCCTCCGCGGCCAATACTCAATTTCACTTGCCACACAGCTTATGGGCTGGTTGCACCCTTCGGACACCCGTTTCACAACACTAAAATTTCACTTACCGCTAACTCCAAGTGTTTCAGCGATTTGCTTCCAAGTCTGCGCCTTACGCACAAAATGCTTATAATTGTAATGTGAGCGATCATATATAACGGGATTCATTTTAACTGCCTCAATTAGATTGAGATCAAACTGCTGCTCCAGGTTGGCATCCAGTTTGTCCATTTCGATGGCTGCACTCAGTGTGTGCACTGCGAGAAAACACACAAATATATTAAATATACTACTTATACATGTGCATATTCGTATCGATGTGTGTGTGCGCGCGTCTACATATACATTTCTATATGTATTTGTGTGTATGCATGTAAATTGGCCACTTTATCAATATTGCCATTTATATGAAACGAACTAACTAAAACTCACTTTGTTTCTTTCGTTTGCTAATTGTTGTTAAATAATTGGCGCGCACGCACCCTTTATAGTTTATTTGTTTTTATTTTGATTTGGTCTTCTTCGAGGAGGAAACGTCGCGACGTCGACGTTCAATTTTATTTCTCAGTCGCTGCCAACAGTGAAATTTTTGTTCCAAGAATGAAGCAGGCAGCGCAGTCTACTTTTCTAGTATGTATATTTTAACACAGCCAGCCGCTGCGACGACTCGACGTCAAATAAAGGAGACGTCGACAGCGTCGCGACGTTGTAGTCAGCGTTGGCTGAATATCACTCTCTCGCTTCCGCATATGTGCAACGCTTGCTTCCTCTTTTGCGCATGTTCAAGTGCCGCTCAGTGTTGGGAAATGCACATTTGAGCTGTGTCTGTGTGTTGGATACCGGCTAAAATTTTGCCGATGCTTCGATAGGCATCATCGATAGTTTATGCATATTTAGATTGAAGTTCTAATATTGAACTAAAAATTATGCCGTTTTTTTTTTTATATGTGCTCTAGGCAGTGAAACGAGATTGTTTAAAATTATTTAATTTTTATGTATTTCGGTTTCGCTTTCGGTATTTATACAATTTGTCTGTACCTTAACAAACGTATTGCATTTGTTGCTGTTTTTTGTTGTTAAATGAAATGAAAAATATATATATTTATATATTCTTGTCTAATATATTGTATTGCATGCTACTACTGTTTTTGAAGAACTGGAAACAAATCTGTATGACAATATAGTTGTGTGTACTTAAAATTATGTGTGTATATTCATTTGTTTAAACAATTTTGAGTTGAGAGAGAATGTGGGATGTGGATAACAATGATTTTGACAATATTTTTTCATAAATATAAATTAAAATTGTGCTTAACTAATTTTTTTTGTAGTGTTTAATGTATGTATATTCAAAAAGGAATGACTTAAGAGTTAGTTAAAAATCCTCCTTAGTAGTTAAATTGTTTAAAGATCTTTGTAATACGAAACCGGAGAGATGCAGCAAATCAAAAAATTATTATAAGTTTTCAAATTATAAAGCAAAAAGTACGTAAAAAACAAAATTACAGGCGCAAGTTGGCAAATTTTGTTTTCTTTTTTTTTTTCCTTTCAAATGTAACATATCATCTTCATTATCATCATTGTAAAATGTTTGTGGGCTTTCTTTTGTTTTAATTTTACATTATTTTTGCAATCATTATATATTGACAAACTTTTTAACTTAATGCTAAGCAATTTTACAATTGTGTCTCAGAATACAAATTTAATTGCCAAAAATGAATTTAATTGGAACTCTCTATTTTGTTTTCTTTTGTTTTTTGTTTCATTTTCGTTTGCTTTTTTGTGTGCCACATTTTGGGTTCGGTTGCTATAGTTGTCTGTGTGTGTGTGTTGTCTGTTTCTTATTGTTTTAGTATTCACTTACAATATATCATCATTTTTATGTTTTTTTCTTTTGATTATTACATTGTTTTTCTTTTCATTAGAATAATTAGCTTAAAATGTAACGAAACAAATGTTGATTTTTTCTAATGGGGCCCTTCTTATTTACTCTTTTTTTGTTTGTTATTTTTTGTTTTATCAAAATATGATGTGATTTCTTATTTGTTGTTACTGTACTTATTATGTGGGTGTGTATGTGTATGTGTGTGTTTGTTTGTTTGTATTGGTGTATATATTTAAATTTATAACGTACAAAGACGATACAGTTTGTAGATGCTTCTAACCATCATGCTTTCTCTTCTTGCCCCTAGCATGCGTTTCATCTGGAAAAGTCAAACATTAATAACATTAACTATCTTTTAAATATTCATGTTTATCTCTCACTCACCTGGCTTCTCAGCATCCTTCTCATCCTTGGCATTATTGACAGATGCAGCCGATTCATTTGGATCACCATCGGCTTCATCAATATCTGAATCTTCATCCTCATCCTCATCGCCGCCCTCGCCTTCTTCCCAATCAGAATTATCTTCTTCTAGATCATCATTATAGACCTGCCATATAAACAATAAGTTAATTGACTGATTGTTATATGGATATAAATTATTGATTTACCTCCGACAGGGATACGTCGCCATTCTCCCCGTCTTCACTCTCATCGCTATCTTCCTCATCATCATCTCCACCAGAAACTGCAAGCAATGCAAGCAAATTGATAAGGTTTTAATTAAATTTCTTTACGCACAAATGCTTACAATAGGCGGCATTCGCCAGATTTAATATTGCTAAAAACCAATAGATTAAAATTGCAAAATTCGTGTTTGATTGGTTGTTATTCGGCTGTACTGTGAGATGGCTAGCCTCTATCACAGATTGGCTCTCGAGCTTAGCTTTCTCTTTGATTTGCAGTTCTTTTAAATATTCATCTAATTCGTCTACTTCATCATTTTCAGCATCGGGAGGCTTTTGCTTTTGAATTTGCATCTCCTGCAAACGTTTTTTGGCTTTAACACGCTGCTCCAATGCATCGAGCTCGTCTAAATCGATTTCTAAACCATTTACACAGAAGGCACTGGGCTCATCTGAAAGTCGACAGAATCTGTGTATTGTAATGTATACGATATGGACTGAACTGATCTTAGCGCAAATAGGGAATGTGACAATAAGAAATGAGAGTGACTATGATCCGAAGTACGAAACTAACAATGAGAGAGAACGATCGCTAGATCTGTATAATACAGCAAATTTATGGCAATTATTAGCAGTTCCTTGGAGAAATGCTGTCTTTTGTGGTACACACCTTCATCCTCGGAGTCATTGCCATTGACTTCATCATCATCATCACCTTCCGATTGTACCTCCTCATCATTACAATCAAATCTATAAAAGAAAAATGAACATAAAGACATTACTTTATATAAAAATACACATATGTATATAGTAGTAATCCTTACCCATCTAAAAAGTTTAACGAGGGCAACATCTTGAATATCTTCTCACGGTAGTTTTCCACTTGTGTGGCATCATTATTGAATAGATCCAATATATTTAAGTTTTTGAACTCCTTCAAGGGTTTCAGCGTTTCCAAATCCTTGATTTTGTTGCCAGATAAATTCAAATATTGTAATTTCGGGCTGGTCGTTAAATAGTGGAGGCCACTCGAAATTCGATTATCAGATAATTCCAATTTCTTTAAATTGGGTAACTTGGGGAAACCTTTCAGTGTGGTCAAACCCACATTTATCAAACTTAATGTTTCCAAGGCGGTATATTCATCTGTAAGGCCAACAATGCTTGTACTCCTGCAGTTATCCAGATTCAGTTCTAATATCTGTGCGTTTATAGAAAAGGGAAAATAATTTATTATTCAAATTCATTTCATAAATATTCATCTCATATAACTTCATTTTGGTATTTCGTACTGTCAGCGATTCCTGTGCTGCATAAGGAAATGGGCATATTTAACATTAGACGATTTGGTCACACTGCCGGTGTATTCAGCGTATTGCGAGTCTCTGACAGTCTGCCATGTCTGTGTGAACGTGTGCCAGAACGAGCGCAAAAGAAAAAACTCAAAATGAAAAACAATACATACGCAAAAAATCGATCAAACGCAAAACATTTTTTTTGATTGCAATCAAAACTCACACACAAAATGGCGCATTGAGAATAACGAATATAATTATGGTAAAAATGAAAAACAATTTACTGTGCTGAGACAACAACAATGATTTTGAAACATATTGCGCACCTAGCTCCCAGCTGAAAAAGTGGCAACGCGTTTATGTAACAGCATTTTTTTTTGCAGCCGTTGTGTATGTGTGTGCGTGTACGTGTGACGTACGCGCCACAAAACGGAATGCGCGAAAATGGGCATTGAAAGAGCAGCGCAAAGAGCAAGCGCTGATAACATGGCAGCGCAATACGCGCGCGTGTTACAAACAAAATTGAAACGAAATGAAATGTTATGAAGCACTTCAAGGGGGGTTGCACGGGGTTGAAAGGGAGATGGGGATGAAAAGGAAAACAGTATACAAGTCCTCCGATTTGCGGAATGGAACAAGCCGGCAGCCGCACTAACCCCAATAACAGCAATAACAAATTGTATGTTGACAAACGACTTTTTTTTTGGTAGTTGTTGCGCCTAAGCGCAAGAGAATCAGACAAACGGTTTTTACTTGAGACTTTTGATAAGCGTTGGACTTCCGCTTGAAATATGCGATTGAGAGCGTTAGCATTTTCTAGTTGCCCTTGATTATTTTCTGATTAGACAAATTAGAGTAGTCCAGTTTATAGATTTACAGTTTCTTGCGATGGCAACAATGGCTGGCGACATTTTACGTTCTGAGCAGCAGCAGCAGCGCGTTTCATCTGTTCTGCTGGACAGTTACATGCACACAAATACCGACGTAGTTAAATGAGTGCTCACACACACATACAACCGCACGCAGCTTAAGCTTTGGAGCGTGTGCATATTAGCTTAGCTTTGACTATGTGTGGCCGCGTGTGGTTGTACAGCTGTATGTGTGTTGGACCACTGTGTGTGCATTTTGGTTGGGCGGGGTGGGTTGTGGGTGCCTGATTGAGTAGGCCTTGCCAGAGCGCATGTTTATTAATCAGCAAAAGTGCCACACACCAAAAAAGAAAAAAAAAAAGACAGGTTTGTCTGCTCTGTTCCGTTCTTGTTCGCATTTCTTGTAACGAGTGAGAGAGATACATACATACGTATGTGTGTATGCTTATACATACGAATATGAGTGGAGAGAGGGAAGTGCATGTAAACAGTGCATGTACCGTTTCGTTTGGGGCGGCCGGTTTTTTGCATTGTGAAAAGTCTAGCCTGCGACAGCAGATGTGTGTCTCTGTGTGCGAATGTGTGTGTGAGGGTATTTATGACTGCGCAGTCAATATGCCTGTGTGTGTGCATGTCTCAGCAGCAGCTATAGCTAAAGCTGGCGACCCATCGGCATTGGCGAGAATGTGTCGATTATTATGTGCATACACGTTTCTTGTTAGCCTGTATGCATATATATACACATACATACATATATGTATGTGTGTATATATGAATGATGCGCGCGCTATAATGTTGTTATAGATACATTTTGGTATCAAATAACCTGAAATTACAAGCATGGCATACAAACACTCACACACATACGTACGCACGCATACATACACTTACATATGTTTTTATTGCAGTGTTTGTCACAATTGAAGGCCGGCAAAGGCAGCAACAACAACAGATTTTAGAAGCATTGCCAGCTGGCGCAACTTCTGCTTTGTGCATATCACGATCAGCTCGCATAAGCGCATGCATATCATAAATC